GTAGGTGATGATTGTCGCTGTTCGGAATTTTAGCAAAAAAGTTAAAGAATTGCTCATCATCCCAATTGGGAGCATAGATAGAGACCAAGACTACTGGAAAGTTGTTTAACAAGCCCGATACTATGACATAACGGCCATTAACATCTTGAATAACTTGCACTGGCTCAAACAATATATTCTTACTAACAATAGCAGCCCCTCTAGCCTTAGCGGATACTAAGGCCTTTTGATACGTTGGACTTCCGAACCCTATGGGTTTGTTTCTTCATCAGGTTTGTAGAAATGGATGCTCTGCAGTGAATGGGTGCCGTCAGAATGAGAGTCCAAACAGCTGATAAACACATCACAATAATCCACAAGTAATCCACAGCACTCCAGTCCATCAGTGAACATCTGGAGAAGACAAAAGCTGAAACATCCAGCATTAAGACGATTTTAACTCAAATACGAGTCCATAATAACTCTTCCTCCAGTGAAAAAGTGTTCTTGGTGATTTTATCAGCTCTCGTTCTGACGGCACCCATTCACTGCAGAGCAAGTGATGCAATGCTACATTTCTCCAAAACAAACTCTGATCCTGAGGGTGAACACGTTTTAATTTTTGGCTGAACCATTTCTTTCATAAAATCTTTACCACATTTGAATCGCTTTAGCCATCATAGATTATAAAGAAGCCAGACTCGAAACACCTGGAAGAAACCAGCCAACGAAAAGGACGACGGTGAGCAAAGAAAAGCACCAAAAAGTCATAGTCTTTCAATCATTTTAATACATGGTTACCTGTACACATGAGGAAGAAAAGAAACACTAAAATTAAACATTTTGAAATTATAATATCCCTTTTCATTAAGCAATGAAGTTAATACTAGATCAATTTGTAACTAATCAATCATACATATATTAGATCACACAGAGTAGAAAGCAAAATCTGAATTAAAAAGTGACGGGATCGGGACTGTACAGGAGCGCACAGTGTGTTGTGGTGAAGTCGAGGGACCGGCGAGAACAAGTAAGACAAGAACTTTGATCTTCCAATACTCGGAATATAAAAAACTACAAGTAATTAATACACAGGTAGGCTCTCCGAGGCTTAGCAGTCTTGAACGCTTTAAAGTCGAAGTTTACAGAACTACACACACATAAAACGTCTCATCCGTCAGCAAGATGCAACATCAAATTTCAAATCACACATTCACAATCTTTGACAAATTTCAGTATGAAAACAGAACAGAAAAACAGGGAGTTTTCCTGTAAAAACGCAGGACAAAAAAGTCTTTGATTTAATTATATATATATATTTTTAAATAAAGTATTTAGTCAAGTATCTGAGCATACATACATAGTTTTACAAGAGAGCAAAGGCAAAAAAACCACCTCACGATACGCAAGACCACACTTTCCCGCCAAATCACCGTAATAAAAAAATTATCCATTACATTTGCATACGACTACAAAAAACCTCTACGAACTACAAGTTAAACGTCTGTCAAAATATTAGAGAAATCCATCTTAGTTTCCAAAAAAAAAAAAAAAAGGAAATTAGATATTGCACCTTTTTAAACCAGAGTACAATAAAATGACAATGAAAACAGAATACAAGTACATGAGGAATTACATCATCGTTGCGTTTCTCGTGTAACAAAAGCATATATTCCTGTAACAAAAACATCACAGTTTTTCATCGCACTGAATTAAAATGCTTTATGTAAAAAAAGAAAACATTTTGTACACATTCTTAAAACATTTCACGACAAAACGAAACGATAACGAATTCAAGACTGCTAAGCCCGCGGTCATTTTATTGCAACAGAACTAGAAAAATAAGAGATTATATCGCGCGATCGATGAGACGCCGCGACTCCGGGGTTCGTTTTGGCGATACACATCTATATATATATATCGTAGAATTAAAAAGGAAGAATAGAAAACAAACCAACTCTGAAACGGTCCAAAAAGGGATCCCGGAAATCGCCCATTCGAATAATGGTGCACACAAGTATTTAGTAACAATTTGATGTCCTGATTTAGAAATAGTTCTCTTTTTAAATCATATAAGTCATTCTACAGCTAGTGTTTCTCACTAAGAAAAAAAAGTAAAAGTCTTCAAGGCGTTGCAAATCTAGAAACCTCTGTTACAAAAGGTCTGTTTCCTCCTCGCGGTGATTCAAAAATCTTCAACTAAAGGGTCTGCAGTCGCCCGCTTTAATGATCCTGCGGCACGAGAGGAGAAAACAGGGTCAGAACACTTGATGCACACTAAACGTTCTGAATAATATGCTCACCAGGGCTGCATTAATTGATCACAAATACAGTAAAAATGTGAAATATTTTTACTATTTAAAACAGCTGTGTTCTATGTGAGTATCTGTTAAACTGTAATGTATTTCTGTGATGCGCAGCTGTATTTTCAGCATCATTCCTCCAGTCTTCAGTGTCACATGATCTTCAGAAATCACTATAATATGATGATTTATTATCAGTGCTGATAATAATCAGAAATGTTTCTCGAGCAGCAAATCAGCATGTTAGAATGATTTCTGAAGATCATGTGACTAGGGATGGGCATTTTTCAGAAATATTGTATTCAAATATTTGGGCTCATAAACAACGGATATTCGAATATTCATTTATTTAAATTAAGTTTAACGAGAAAGACGTAATTTTTTTAATAATCAAGTTTCTGTCACCATATCTGAACAAGCTCACGATTAGGCATCAGACACAGCAATGTTCTACAGTTACGTTATATATTTAATTTGATATTTTTGTTAAGTTGAAAATGTGTAAAAAAAAAAAAATTTATTCAAAGAAAAAGGGGTTAAGTATAAAAACAATAAGTGTAATACTGCTTTAAATTGTTGTTGTTTTTCCCCCCAAAAAATAAAAAAGTTTTCTGTTTAATGTAATTGTATTTTTGTTTGAGTTTTTCTGGGCAAAAAATAAATATGATACATTTTCCCCTGATTTACAGAAGACACCCACTAAAATATCATTCAGTGTAACAATCTTGTCAGGCATATTTACAACAAAAATCAATTTATGACGAATTACTTTCACCACAAATACTAATTAGTTGTTATTTTTAAATTTTTTAAATGTTCAACTATCCTAGATTTTGCCCATTTGTCAGTAATAATTTTTTACTCATTTAAAACCCAATAAAATGTAATATGCTCACTCATTCTTTTATATATTTTAATATGTACCGGTCAGAATAAGCATGTTGTTTGAATTTTTACAAAACTGTAAGTGTTACACTGAATGACAATGTAACATTATTTCAACCAAATTTTGACATTTTACTCTTCAAAAGCTTATTTGAAACCTTAAATGTAGACACTTTACTCACATTTAATGTGCTTTCTATATAATCACTTTTGTACATTTCTTTTGATGCGGACATCTTAACGTCTTTGACCCATATATATATATATATATATATATATAAAATCATCGTGTTTATATTGTTACTGCTGAGAAAAACACTAATATCCACATGTTCAGGTGAAAGTGAGCTCCTCCGTCTGATAATAATAATAATAACACAGCGACAGAGACGTTCCAGAGACACAAAGATAACCGAGTTTCTCACAGCGCTGTGTGTTTTCTGTTCTTAAAGCGCTCTCCCTCCGGAAACAAAGGAAGCGCATGTCTCCAGATCATTTGGCTCAGATCAGCTCTTCTCCGCTACAGCTGCGTGAAACTATCGTGCGCTATATCGAATATTTTCTCTACCGTTATCGATGATGGTGTACCGTCGATAAATATCGATACCGTTTCATCGCCCAGGCCTATCGATTTGTGCACGTGACACTGAAGACTGGAGGAATGATGCTGAAAATACAGCTGCGCACCACAAAAATAAATTACAGTTTAACAGAGATTCACAAAGAGAACAGCTGTTTTAAACTGTAAAAATATTTAGCAATTTTTCAGTATTTTTGATCAAATAAATGCAGCCTTGGTGAGTTTTTAAAAACATCTTAATTCTTGCACACTTTTGACCAGTAGTGTATGTCTACAATATTAGCCTATATGATGAATGCTGTATTGGTGGAGTGTGTTTATTACCGGGAGGCTGGGAGCCTGCGTCTGTCCCTGGCCATAATACGCCCCCTGCTGTCTGTAATACTCCACCCAGGCGGCGCTATAGTCTGGAGGAGAGCTCTGCTGAGATCCAGGACCGGCGGGCTGAGCTGAACACACACAGAGACCGAGACACACACACACACACAGAGACACACACACACACACAGACAGACAGGATGAGAACACTGAAGTCCAGCTGGGTTTGACCGACATCATGAGGACAGACGTTCTCTTACTCTGTTTCTTGTAATACTCCTCCCATGCTTTGCTGTATTCGGAGCCGCTGCTCTGGCCTTGGTTCTGCTGACCTGTGCACAGACAAAACACACAAACTCAGCCTCGATTTGATTCAGGAGCATCAGCCGCACGATTAATCAGAGCAAAACCGAAATCATAAGGCTGTGATTTAATTAAATAAGCATATGCACACTGAGTGAAGCGCGGCACTGTGTTCATTTACACACCAGCAGCTCATGATCGCGTGTTTTCAGCGTCTCGGTTCACAGTAACTGATCCGCATGAACTCCATCTGCATCTATGATGAGTTCGAGTCGCTTTAAAGTACATTTGGAAACAAACTATCTTCACAAACTTATAATGAGAAGCGCTTGTCAACAAAAGAGTAGCTGTAAGTGCTCCTGCGTCAGAATAAAAGTGTTTGAAAATCAAGATTTTTTTCCTACAAAGATGGAAGAGTATTACAAGAGTATTATATTGGGTCAACTAATGTAATATTAATGTAACCTGCTCTTGTGATTTGATGTACAAATGTTTCCTCCGCAAAGAGAATACATGACTGAAATATTATTTTATTTTGGTATATATTGTATAATAATAATAATAATTATTATTATTATAGCCATAATGATATATAATCTAACCCTATAAGCAAGCACAAAAAAAAACAACTTTTTTTTAAACAGCATTTTAAATCCCAATTGCAATTTTTGAATAAATTAAAATAAATAAATGACTAAATAAACAGCCCTAGTCGTAACTTCTTGGGATACCAGTCAGAGTGAAAACTAAACCTGTGATAAATAAACCTGCAAAAACCAATTAACCTTGTGTTAAAGGTTAAAGGAAATGTCCATAAATTAACATAGAAAAGGTGCTGGTAACTTGCGTCCAGGATATAGTTTTTCTTACAGTGCAGATGTTTATTTTTCGTTTCAGACTTTTACTGTTACAACGCTGTAAGCGGCAATCCCGGGTCACGTCCTGTTGGGCTTTTTGAGTTCATCGCAGGCTTTTATCAGAACGAGTAATGAAAAACAACAACAGTATTCCAGCCCATCCAAAAAAGAGTGGCAGAAAATAATCCAGCAGACCGGGAAAACTGCTAGCCAGGCAAATAAAACGCTCTCAGCCAAGAGTCCCGGCGTCTCACCCAAACCTTCACGTCGTTTACACAGAAGAAACACAGCGAACTGTTTCAGAGGCACTTGCCTAGCTTTTTATAATACTGCTCCCACGCTTTGGAATAGTCCATCTGGCCGGTCTGGGATCCATTGTGACCTGAAAAGAGCAAAACGAAATGAATCTAAAGCCAAGTGATGTTCCTCAGAAGAAACGGTGATGTTCACAAGAGGAGCGAGTCTTACTGGGGTCCTGCTGGCTCTGAGGCTGCCATGTCTGGTACGTGGTTCCCCAACCTCCAGTCATGAACGTCTGCGGACCACTAACACACAAAACACCAAAACATCATTACAGACACTCCACAGGAGCCCACAGACAATCAGCCCAGTCTGAAACACACACACACACGGACACGATTCATCTGAACGCATCGGATTACAAACTAGACACGTCTGAGAGGTTCAGTACATCAAATCTTTAGGGTTATCAAGTGATTTTTAATTAATTAATTACACGATGTGCCAATTAACTAATCACATCAATTCTGGCTGAGAAATTACCCCCTAAAAGACCATTTAAAATCATTACTGTGTTAAATGAGAAAAGCATTACGGCGTTAATGAATGAGTCATTGAATCACTCGCTCAACCGATTTGTTCAAATCAGTGACCATTTATGAATGAATCATTAAACCATTCGCTCAACTGATTTGTTCAAATCAGTGACTCTTTATGAATGAGACACTGAATCATTCGCTCAACCGATTTGTTCAAATCAGTGACTCTTTATGAATGAGACACTGAATCTTAAATGAAATCTGTTAAATGATTGTCATTGCAATCCATCGTTTTGTTAAATAAATGAAACGCCTTCTGTACTCTTACTCGTGAAATGTGGCATTGCAGGACCTGCTTTTGAAATGAACAACTGTTTGCGACGTTCCTTATAGAGTTGCTTTAATAAAAGCTG